TGTGTTTTCCTTAAGGCTGTTCTCATTGATTGATTACATTTACCTGACTTTTCTTCGGATTTCAACTTTATCACACTAGAATTTAAATAGAGACGGAAGACCGGACACGTGACCGAACAAAGCAACGCTTGTTTCTTGCATGTATTAGAGTAGTACATTTTAGCTCTCAGCACGGTATTCCCCAATTTAAGGAGGAAGTGCGAAAGATTGTCAGAATTTTGAACACTTACAGTTCATCATCTGACGATGAGAAGAGAAATGAAATGAAATGAAATAAAAAAATGCATTAAAGAATAAGAAAAGATTTATGTTCAATGACTCGATTCCGATTTTTTTTAAATACGATTTTAAGATTTTAACTACGTAGATTCAATTTCAATACCACTCAGTTGGATTTACCATTATATTAGCAAGATTATCACACAAAAATGGTAAAAATACCACATTCAGATGATTATGGCTATTGGTGGCTACTAATAATGAAGACTTAACGTTGAGAACCACAAAGTTTGAAAATTACTTCTAAATTATTTCTAAGTGTAATGTTGAATTGTGACTGGAAAATTACCAGCTTTGTAATACAAAATTGTATTCATGGGCTTTCTTAATATGACAATGAAACAAACGCGAGACTGCTTAAAGATAAGAAGCTGTTTAAAACACTACGAATGTCGCTCGAAAATCCGTGCGACAGTCAGCCGTCATGAGAGGTGATCTATCTTAGAGACCTTGCACTGCTATCTGTGCTATTGTGTTAAAGATACTTTCGGAAGTACACGCTCAGAGTCGCCTAATGGTGACACATGACCAAAAAGTTGAACAATCGGTTTAGTATTCCTGCACTAATTGGCAAAAACTTGATTGGCAAAGTGGTCACCCTGGCATTCGTTACTCATCATTCTACGAAATTGTATTTATTACTTGCTCAAAAGTATTCATAACGCGAAAAGTAGCGTTGAAAACAGAGTGCAGCTTCTTCCTCACTCGATGAAAGACAATATACATTGAAGACATCGCACTGTTATCTCCTCTATTGCGTAGGAGTTACTTTCGGAAGACACCGTTTATGCAGATTCGCCTTACGATGACTCATGACCAACAAGCTGAACAATCGGTCAAATTGATAAAAAATTGCCAATTAGCTTGCTTAGCAAAATGCTCACCCTGTCGTTGACTGAAAAAAATTGCATTCACCTATTGCGCTCAAAACCCATGATTTCGCGAAATATCGCGTTAACAAACGAATTCAGCTTCTGCCGTTGCTTAAGAAAAAAAAGGAAAAACAGAATAAAAAGAAAAAAATTCCATAGCATAAATAATTGCTGCAAAGCTTTCAAAATATACGAGAGATGTTGGATGATCCGCCGTCCGTGGCAAGGCACAAATGCACATTGACAACTGAAACAACAGGTTAACAAGTTGAGGCTTTTTCGATAAAAAAGACCGGAACGTTTTGGCTGGAAACACCACGTCTACCTTCAGTTGGATACGAAACAATAACAATTCAAAAGCATAAAAACTAAGTCCCTGGTTGTACAATATACCTTACCAAAAGGAGATGACTGTCATTTTGTCTAGTTTTGAAAAGGCACAACAGAATTTAATTTTTGTAAACTATTTTGTCTTTTATCCAACAACGAAGGCTGAGGTGTTTTCAGCCGAGACATCCTGATCATTTACATGAAAAAAATCCTTGATTTCCGCTGTTACAATTCTTTTAGAGGCACTGGAAAAAAAAAAAAATACATTGGATCTTGAGTCCAGACTCTTGAGAACATTGACAAGAAAAAATACTGTTGATTCAATCGGATTTTTGCTTGAATCAAAACGAAATCCGCTTAAATTAAGAGGCTTGATTCTTAATTTAAGCTAGATTCGGATTGAGTCAAGAGAACTTCTTCTTTTCGATGTTTTGAAGAGTCTGTACACTAGATCCAATGTGTTTTTTTTCCACTGTGTACTCCTTAAATATTTCGCCTCGGGCCTTAATAGAGCGTCTTCAGACAAGCGAATTTTTTCCTCCGTAACGCGAGAGTTCGCAGATCGCGACGAACCCGTGACGGGATGGCGAGACGGAATTGTCGTCGGTCGGTGTCGCGAACTCGGGGCTCGGCGTGGCCGCCGGACGGAGACCAGACGCGCGCCCGCGGCCCCGGCTTGAGTGGGTCTCGAGTGCAGTGCAATTACCGCGCGGCACACGTCCGCCCTGCCGCCAGATCAACCACCGCGCCGCCGATGACCGTCTCGTCAACGCCGGGCTCGAGAGAGAATATATTTATTTCTTGCTTAAAAAGGTAGGAAAAAAGGGTGACAAAAGCTTTAAAAAAACTACAAAACATGAAGCGTGGGACGTTTCGGGGTGGTTTCAATCTCTTCCTCGATACCAGGTTACACACTTGGACCAAGCGCAGTTTACACACTTGGTGTAATTTACAACGTGTAAAAAAAACTTCAAAATAACGGAAACGTAGAAAAATGCCAACTTTGAACGATGGTGCCGAAGAGCTGCGGTGCGAGACGCTTTATTAGCGCCTGCACGTCTGGAGGAATACTTCACACATTGCGCAGAACGGCTGTCGGTGCGTCCGGAGCTAAACGCTTGTTGGCGCCTACAAGAGTGCTAGAATGCTTCACACATTACGCAGAATGGCTGTCGGTGCTGAACGCTTTTTGGCGCTTACGAGAGTGCTGGAATACTTCACATATTGCGCGTACACCACGGTGCGAACTCTGATCATTGAAAATTCCTGATTTCTCGGTGGCGAACACACGGCTGTGTACACAATTTTCAACAGGTATGAATCGCGAGCCTGCAGCCTGATTATTGAAATGTTGTGTTTGTCGGGTCGACATAGATGACATCTAGGTTAAGAGGCGGAGCGTGATTGGTCGGCTATGTCTTATCACTGCTTTGTCGTGCCTATGTCAGGTGGAACTCGTTGATGAAATTGTTGACCTCGATTTTTGGATAATTTCATAAGAAATAAGGATCTTGAATCTACTGTGTTGACTCTTGAAGATTTGACAAGTAAAAATGCTCTTAGCTTAGTCGGATTTTTGCTTGAAGCAAAAGGAAACCTTGATTAAATAAAGAGGCTTTTCTCTCGATTCAAACAGACTTCCATAGATCAAGCGTATTTTTCTTCTTCTTCATTTACAAATGTATCAAAAGTTTGGACTCAGAATCCAATAGACTTCTTCCCAGTGATAAGGTAAAAAAATGCGCCTAAATAGTTGCATGCACCCATTAAGGTTCACTTTTCATAATTTTCCGGGGGAGGACCCCAAAACCCCCTCATGTGCATTTAAACTAACATGAAAGTTAACTCTATCCTTTGCAAACCGTTTGAGTTTGCTAGGCAAGTCGTAGACCGACCTTCGACACGGTACCGGGTACCTGTCGCAAAACTCGAAAGACTCGCAAAACACAGCCATCACTCCCGCCTTTTCTCGGTTCGAAGACAGTCCGGCGTGTGGACGCCAAATCAGGGAGTAAATTTCTCGCGAACGAATGTTTCATTTCGAAGATAAGGAATTGATCGAAATGCGCGGCAACTGAGAGGACTGAGGAGCATCAACCACTCGACCTTGGCACTGAATCATATCCAAGCAAACAACTTAAACTGAAAAAAAGCTCAAGACACTGTCGTTCCCCAGGAGCTTTCTTGCATAACACAAGATTGCCGAAGAAATCGAGAGAGAAAACAGAAGTTCACGGGACGGGAAACCGAAAAATTCGGTCAAGAGGACCAAATTTTAGTTACTATATTCGGCAGTAAATATCCATACTGGGACTGAAGAATCTAAGCTTGTAATAGACAAACTAAGACGCATATACTTTACGAAAGAAAAGCGAGGAAACCGCCATAGTCCAGTTACTCCATAGAAAGCAACAACTTAAAACGGAACTAAGCCTGCAAATAATAAAAAGAAACATATGAAATAAAATAAGAAACCCGGGGCGTTTCGCAGGGATCACACCCGCATTTTCAACCGACAAAACAAGAAAAGAAAAAGAAAAACACTGGGATCACACTCGCATTTTCAACCGGCAAAACAAGAAAATTAAAAGAAAGACACTACGAGCCTCACCGTTCTTATTGTGAGACTCACAATAACAACGTGTGTAGTCTCACAATAACAACGGTGAAGCTCATAGTGTCTTCCTTTTAATTTTCTTGTTTTGGCGATTGAAAATGCGGGTGTGATCCCTGCGAAACGTCCCGGGTTTCTTCTTTTATTTTATATGTTGCTGTTTATTATTTGCGGCCTTAGTCTCGTTTTAAGTTGTTTCTTTATTAGTGTTTCAGGCCGATTAAGTTGTTTTCTTATCATTGTTACTTCATAGTCTATACCGAAGGGGCGGCGTTGAATGATCGAACTCCAATTATTCCCCATTTGAAGCTTTGGTACAAGATAGATTATTGAGGTGTTAGTTGAGAAAACCCTGTTTCTCGATCCTTTATGATAGGTTTAAACGGTAGATAGATCGATACGTCGCGAAGCACGCCACGCCACTTGTTTGAACATTGCCCTTATGGTTACCCTTAATTGCCCCTTAATTGATTTGTTATTAGTTCTTTCCGAAATGAAGTGCGTAAGCGATAAAAGCAGTTCGTTTGCAAAGACATTGCGGCACACTTACTTGGGTACATTAATAGAGCTACAATGTAAAATATTGAAAAATGACTGAATCAAGGGCTCTCGCATCGAGAGAAATTAGGACAATGGATTTACTTACGGACACCAAGAATTTTGGGTTCATGTAACAAGTCATAAAGTTAATAAGAGATTCATACCTGCAACAAAGGAGAAGATTCAAGGAAATGATTAGTTTATAAAAACGATGACAACAGCAAAATACTAAAATTACGATTTCGACCTTGAAAAGAGAGAGCAAGTCTCCATTTCCCAGTGCACATAAACATACAAATTTGATCTAGTTGAGTCTGTTCACATTTCTGTTCATTTAATTAATTAGTTATTTTATTTTTGTTTAGGCAACTCAAGAGTGGGGAAAGTGCCGCTGAAGCCAAGCCACTACCTAACAGAAAATGGTGAGTTATACATACACATATTATTAAGTCGTAAGATCAATTGGATGTCAACAATCACTTTCACCGTTCAAAGACTGCCACACACAGGATGGCCCGGTAATTTTTAACAAGTATACCGACCATATTCCTCGTAAAAGTTCCTGGTTACGGCTATTAATACGAAAATAATCAGAATTTCATAAAATGGGAGATTCTGATGTTCTTGATGTCGCTGAATTCAAATTGACTTCAAATCGTTTCAATCTGCAATTTACAATTGCCACAGATAATGATATTGGTTCTGAGAATATTGAAGCTGCAAAAATCCAAGAAATATCTGACCGCTTGCCTGGGCTCCTCTCTTTCTACACGCAGCCGCTACGCACTGGATACATGTATTTTAACTACACAGGTGTGCGTGAAGTATTCGATCTTTGAAGGCATTTTTGGGAATGTATGTTTTCATTGGTCGCGGTTGGAAAATCACATGCGGCTCTCGCTATTTGAAGATATTTCAATTCTTCGTGGGATACAAATATTTCAACTCCACGGATGTGCGTTAAGTATCTCGACTTTTTAAGGCATTTTGATAATTTGGTGTTTACATTATTCGCGGTTTGAAAATTGAGACGACGAAGTGTGACTCCATTAAGTGTTGAGTTGTAGACTGATTCAACCGTAAACTACCGTTATGGTTAAATCACATTCAACTGCAGGCATTCTCTACTTTGGAGGAGAAAAAATAAGAAGAGGGAAAACCCCTAAGCTAGCTGATGCAGTTGGAGGCGAGAACACGAAGAATCTTATGAGAACTAAAAGGAAGAGAGCCGTTAGAGCGTTTTTTTGTAAACCACGGTAAGCCCATGCTCTCTTCTTGACCCTCATCCCAAAATAAACTTACTTCTCTTATCCGTAACGCTGCAGTATTGTCCACACGGAGAAAAAACCTCGTGTGTGGGACCCGAAATTTAGGTCATATGGATCTCTGAAGTTTTCAGACTGAGCATCTGAACACTTAAGGTCTAGCTGCCTAGGTTGAGGTCACACATCTGAAACTTCAGTTCTTACATCTGAAGTACTTCGAATGTGAGAACCGAATTTTCAGATGTGAAAACCGAAGTACTTCAGATGTAAGAACCGAAGTTTCAGATAAGTGATCCAAATCTCAGCAGCTAGTCTTACAGTGTTCGGATGCTCGATCCGAAAACTTCAGAGATCCAAATGACTTAAACTTTGGGTCCCACGCAGGAAGTTTGTTGCTCCGTGCACAACCTACTTCAAGGGCCGAACTGTGAGACCGTATTCGTACATTTAAGAAGACCATAGAAACGAAACAAAACACAGGAACAATTCCTCATGAGCCTCCTAAAATGTATAATTTTCATTTAATCATTCCCTTTAATATTTTCACCCGACAACAAACGCGGCACTCACAACTCACCGCAAAACTTTTATGCAACTAGCACCTACCGGCTACAGAGTGGACCTCTCGATAAAAAAAAGGAAGAAAGTAAAACAGTTCCTGGGTTGCAGAATGCAGTCCATATGACCCGTTTAAACGGATTTTCCCGCGCCTCAACGAGATGGTGCTGAATTTCGGCCTCCGAAGAGAATACGGCTCCACGACGAGCGAGGCTCCCCGGAGCAGCCGCATAGTGCATTAGTTATTCCGCGGCCGGGCATAATTCCGACCGGAAAGCGAAGCGGAAGCAACGCATCCCCCACTGAGTCCCAACGATACATACGCGGTTCCTGCGCGGGGCTGCGGAAAAAGCGCGCGGAGGAGGTGTGAAAGACTAATGGCCCGGGGCGCTCGGGGCCGGGCTGTCTGTCTCTGAATCGGCACAAAGCAGAAGCTCGTAATTCGCCACTCGGAGGAATTTCAAAGACACTCAAGCGCCCGCGCCCGCGGTGTGTGCCCAAGATAAGCGAAATTGCGACTTTCCAGCCGCCCCCGACTAAAAATTCCCGCGGCGCCGCGCCCGCCCGGGCAGGGCGCAATTAAGAAGGCGAGCGTTTTTCGCCGAGGAGGGGTGTTTTCCTTCCGCGCCATCCTGTGCAGTGGACCACGAAAACGAGCGGGCGCCGCGCCGTATTCATGGTCTTTTCTTGAAAACTTCAGCTGAAGCAAAAAGAGGAGTTGTTAATTTTAGAAAATAGATGAAAAATTACGACGAGCTAATTGGGTATCTGAAATTCACTCCGAACTTCACAACTAAGAAATATGCGTAATACGGGTTACCCGCTTCAAAAGCGATACTTTCGCGAAGGTGAAGTGAACATTTCCAGCATTTCCTTAGGGAGTTGTTTCATCTCATCCTTGCACACTAGATGCTACACAATATCCAACATGGTGGACGCTGCCGCGCGCAAAGCGTGAGCAAGCAGCATAATCTTTATCAACATCTAGATGTGAAAATAGACCCTTGCGACGGATACACCAAACGGATTAGTCATGAATACTTCCAAAAAAAAATTTAAAAAAAAAAACAAAAATTCATTGCAAACTTTGTAACTTTTAAGGTATGCTCTTATCTATAGCATTATTTCAAAGCCCATCAAATGCCAGTCACTACTGCTCAATTTCTTGTTTCGGCATCATATTAGTCCAGTTAGAAAAATGGATAGTGAAAATCCCAATTCCTCTTTGTCTCTTTTATCTATCGTTTTGTCTATAAATTTCAATAATCAGCCTACTATTCGAAGCCCCGGAAGCGAAATTCGAGTCACACCGTCAACTTGCCACCGTTCAAGGCCATCGCGCCCCACGAGGCGCTAACTAGGGGTCGGCGAAGCGGAAAGCGAAAAAAGGGGCGAATTGGAATCGAAACAAGAGCCGGCTCGGCGTTAAAGGAACGATAAAAATGCACGTAGCAGCAAATTAACGGTCACGCCAGTGGAGTCTGGAAGAGCCACCGGGGGGTCAAGGGGAGATTGACCCCTTGCTCTGGAATTAAAACGCCGCAAATGCACGTCAACTTCCTGTTGTCACTTTTTCACTTTTTCCGCGGGCACGGCGCCGGGGGCGCGCGCAAAGGCCCAGATAGGGCGGATTAAATGGTGTTTATGCGAGTAATCAAAACTAAATGGGTTACAGTTTCAATTGTGACGAGTGGAGCTCACCTGGCGCGGGGAGCGGCGGAGGGGGGCGGGGGCGTAGCGAGGGGTTTATTAAACCAGCGCGCCGTAATACACTGTACCTGCTTATCTAGCCCATGTTATTAATATGAATGGGACCCACATACGACCCCGCGCCCTCCGCCGAACCCGCCTATCGCCCCCAATAAAATTTCTGACGGCTACTTCAAATAACAGCGCAATTCAATACTACTTTAACTGCCAGTCAAACATTCAAAATGTAAACTGAGAACAAACCTCAACAAAGGCTCCCTCAGGGGTGGTTGGGCGGGGGCCGGGGGCAGGGCGATTTTATTGGCATTCCCGCCATGCACGATGCGCCCGTGACACATTACGGTGACGGTCCGGGGGGGGGGGGGGGGGGGGGGCAATGCCTGTTCTTCACGGAGTGCATTAATTCATTCACATATGCGCTTTAACCCGGGGTTTTAGTGCGGCTCAAATCTCGGGGTCTGACAGAGGTCGCTCCGCTGAACGGACTCGTACTAAAAACCATCCTGCCGCGTACATCTCATTCACCTCTCACCCGTCGTTCATTAAAATTCGCCATAGGTCAAGAAATCTAATGAGGGTGATTGCCACAAATTCACTTACTCTTCTCGTGTAGTAGGCTTCAGAATTCACTGAGAAAAAACTATGGTTTATAAACCTATTAGAGGTAAATATGGAACACCTATAATAGTCGTAAATAAACTAATGATTCTCGGTCTGTGAACCATACTAAGGTCTCTGTACCTAATTAAGGTGCACGTACCATAACTAAGGTATATGTGCTATTATTATATGTAGAGGTACTACTATTAGTGGTGTTCCATATTTACCTCTAATAGGTTTATAAGCCATAGTGTTTTCTCAGTGTTATAGGAAAATTCGTCAAAAAAGGTTGACAGTTAGATGTGTCTGAAGAGTTTGACTCCCTTAAATACCGCATCAGTTTTGAGTACTCGTTAGTACCATTGTGGACTAGCAGGCTTCAAACATCAACCAACAAAGTTACAGATTCAGTGAAAAGAAGTACAGGGTACACTGAGAAAAAGCTATGGTTTATAAACCTATTAGTGGTAAATATGGAACACCTATAATAGTCGTAAATAAACTAATGATTCTCGGTCTGTGAACCATACTAAGGTCTCTGTACCTAATTAAGGTACAGAGACCATAACTAAGGTATATGTGCTATTATTATATGTAGAGGTACTACTATTAGTGGTGTTCCATATTTACCTCTAATAGGTTTATAAGCCATAGTTTTTTCTCAGTGTAGGATGAGGGTAGAGAAATTAGCGGTATTGATTCTTCTAACCGTTATCCCATGTTGAATCTTTTGATGCGAGAGTATGATGAAACGCTTATTTATCCTTTTATTCCGCTACTTTCACAACTAGACTCATGATTTTTGTAAAAAAATTAGATGACTGCACGCACATGTTTGTTTCTTGTGGAGGCCAACTTCCATAAAGTGATTGCCTTTTGCTGCTCACCCCAAAACGATCGAATATAATAATAATTAAACTCCTTCTGTGTAGTTCAGTCTTGAAGCTATTCACATCTTCGATTTACATTACAAAATTGAAAATAAACCTCAACAAAATTTAACAATGTCAAGTCAAAAAAAACGTCAAAACTAGCAATCAAGCAATAAAATATTGATAAAATGTTAAAAAGTCATTCATTACTCAGAGGAGAGTATTAAATTCCTCTGACTCGTGAGTGACTATTTAATATTTTAATGATATTATATTGTTTGACCGTGTGACCTAGTAAGGTACTTTTAACTAATTTTTAAATTTAAGAATAGCAATGGTTCATTACAATTGACCAATATGTTTCCACGGAGAGCGGGTCGTCAAGTAATTCTGTTAAAGAACACCGTTGGATTTCTT